CGCTTAATGATTGAAAAGGTACTGAGAACCGCGATTTCTTCAATGATACCACGGTTTGAGAAAATTTGCTCTGAAAAAAAAGCTCAATCGTCGCATAAAATTTTAAAATGTTGTAATTGTTAGAAAAAGTTCAAAAAAGCGACAAGGGCGACGCCAGCAATGAAATAAATGTATATTACACGATTCTTTCGAGCTCCCCCCATTACTTAAAAACTATTACACTTGCAATTTTTCATGTTTGATAAGGCCCCTTGAACACCTGAAATTCCCAATTTCATGAATAAATTTATGGTAGTTCTCAAGTGCTACTTTTATCATTCGTTCACTTTCGCTCATCCAAAACCTAGATCACTTCTAGGTGACCTAGAAACTTAAAAATCGTCATCAAGAAATTACCAATATTTGATGGTTGTTTTGGTGCTAATAATTTCAACTAATAAGTAATTTGATTTCTTATCTTGTATCTAGTCTAATGTCTAATGACTCTTTGAAGTGTGCATGCAGTAAACATAAAACTTTCCAAAAATTAATATAACAAAAGCATGAATAAAAAGAGGAAGACAAGTTCGATAAAAATGATGTCCGGGGTTTTAGGCTTTGCTGATAAAAAAATTGAGACTTAAACGGTTGCCATGTTCCATGCATTTGTACTCGAATTAAGTTCTTTGAATATTTGTGGTTTCAAAATCTTTAATAATCAATAAATCTAAACGTTTATTGTGATAAATTTCAAATTTGCCAAGTTACAAATTAAATATCAATGAATGTAATTTGATTACACCTTGTGTGGAACTTGGCACCCGTTCAAATCTCAACTCCTTTATCGGCAAAGACGACAACCCCAAACAGCATACAGGATGTAATAACTTACGTAGTTTGATATTGAATTTATAGCTTGACAAATTTAAATAACCATTAAATTACGTTTAACGCTATAAATTCAATATCAAAGAGCGTAATTGACACCCGTTCAGAATGGAACTTGGCATTCCTTCAGATCTCAAAGCCGACAATCCCGACCGATGTCACATACAAGATGTAAGAACTTACGTCCTTTAATATTGAATTTATAGCTTGTTATGTATTAATAATAAATAAATTACGTTGAACGTGATAAATTTAAAATTTGCTATGTTACAAATTCAATATCAAAGAGCGTAATTGGCACCCGTTCAGAATGGAACTTGGCACCCCTTCAGATCTCAAAGCCGATAATCCCGAACGTTTTTGCTTATAGGATGTAACAACTTACGTCGTTGAATTTATAACTTGGCAAATTTTAAAAATTAATAACTAACGTTGAACGTGATACATGTAAAAATATGTGATGTTACAAACTCAACATCAAAAAGCGTAATTGGCACCCGTTCATGTTTTCTTTTTGTATTTATGCTCTTATTATGATGTTCTGTTTATTCAACAGTTGTCAATAAATTTTAGTAATGAAAAGGAAAAACAAGGGCAATAAAAGTAACGAATGAATTCGCGGTTGACACTGATATGTATAGATACTTGACAAGTGAATAAAATATTTTTTTCCCATCTTTCAGTGCGATTAGTTATTGTGGACATGACTAATTTGGTGGTTAAAGTCTTGCATGGATAGCTCGATCAAACCAACGTATAATAATATAAGAAAGAGTACTTTACAATTGGTTAGAACATCTGCGAGGCGCTCTGACCTACTGACCTACTCACTTGCCTCTTTCCCGTTGTTATTATTATTATTCTTCTTGTGGCTTTTTAGCTGCTCCGCTTTGTCTGTCTGTTCTTGTTTGTTTGTGTACAACTACTTCCTTACCACTACATTAACATCATCACGAACAGTAAAAAACGAAAGCAACAATGAATAAATTGATTTTTAAAAATTTTGGTATTACTTTTCGGCATAACTCTACCCAAAAACAAAATAATCGTTTATTAGGGTTCACGAAACCTAATTTCTAATGACAACATTCAAATGAAACATTTTGGGGCTTCTGCTTTTCAAGAATATAAAATTAATTAGTTGTTACGTATATTACACGTATCTACAGCAAGAATTTCAGTTGGTAAACAGTTAATCGAACGCAAAATGAGCAATCGGTTCAACAGTATTGTGCTTGTCACCTAGTTCAATGTTAATGAAGACACTAAAATCTGTTGAAGTGGAAATTTTAAAGAACAAACCGTTGCCCAAACCGAGGCAATTCTAGGGGCAATGGCGTGTATAAGAGATTTCTACGAAAAATATTAATCAAGAACGACTTGTCTAGCCTAGTGGAACCATTTCACCAAAAAATCACTGTTCCCATGCACTTTTACCCAAACAAAAACCACATGATGTCCACTCAGTCCCGATTACCTATGAGCCCGTTAAACAAATGCAACGAATAAAATAATTCGGTTATTGTAACCGCAAAACCCGCAGCTATCGTAAATCGAAAGAAAAACGCTAATAAAAATATATTTCAGTGAATCTATAGGGTTGTTCGGAAAGTCATTTCGTTTTTTTTTGTGGAAATGAAAGACAGTTTTCGTATAATAAACAAATACTTTATTAAATTATACATTGACCGTTCTGGTCCAACACCTTTTGCCATCTTTCTGGTAGTAGCATAATTCCACGCTCATAAAATTTTTGGTCTTTGCTGGCAAAAAACTGATCGAGGAGGTTTTTGACCTCCTCATTTGAGGTGAAGGTTTTACCGTCTAAAAAATTTTGGAGTGACCGGAACAAATAATAATCCGATGGTGCCAGGTCTGGAGAATATGGTGGGTGTAGCATTGTATCCCATTCAAGCTGTAAAAGCTTTTGGCGAGTGACCAAACTTGTGTGAGGTCTCGCGTTGTCTTGGTGAAACACTACACCTTTCCTGTTGATTAGTTCTGACCTTTTCTGTTGAAGTGCATCATTCAGTTTGTCCAGCTGATGACAGTAGACTTCCGAATTAATCGTTGTGTTATCCGGTAAAAGCTCAAAAAAAACGATTCCTTTAAAATCCCACCAAACAGACAGCATCACCTTTTTTTGGTGAATATCGGCTTTGGAAATGGTTTGAGCCGGTTCATCTTTTTTGCTCCATGACCTCTTGCGTTTGACGTTGTTGTATACAACCCATTTTTCGTCCCCAGTGATGATGCGCTTCAAAAACGGATCATTTTCGTGACGTTTGAGAAGCGAATCGCAGACGTCAATGCGGCGACACAGATTTCTCTCTGTGAGAACATGGGGAACCCATACATCGAGCTTCGAGGATAATCCCAGGCCTTTCAAGTGGTCATAAACTGTTGAATTTGATAAATTTAACCTCAATCCGATCTCACGTGTTGTTATTCGCCGGTTCACATCAACTAATGCCTTTATCGCGTCTTTATCAGCTTCAACCGGCCTTCCCGAACGTGGTGCATCTTCGACATCAAAATTGCCGGATCGAAATTTAGCGAACCAGTTCTGGCACTGGCGTACTGTCAACACACCTTCTCCATACACATCAGTCAATTTCTTTCTGGCTTGAACAGCATTTTTACCCTTTCTGTAGTAAAACAGTAAGATATGTCGAAAATGCTGCTTATCGCTCTCCATATTTAAAAGGGCACCAACCAAAAACTACTGCGTAGAATTAATTGGAATTTTTCACACACAAGCCTTGCTATATGAGCCCTCAAAGCATATAAAAATTATACGGCCGAAATGTGAAGTTGGGTGCAAAAGAATACAATTAAATCCTCTGTCGGGAAAAAACGAAATGACTTTCCGAACAACCCTATACATTAGATGAACAAACAATACATTTTCTTATTTAGAAAATGTTCGCACTAATTTGTAATTTTGATAAATCTTTTAATAATACTTCACCAAACTTTCTTCTTCTTCAGAAATTAGTATTGTTCGTATTGTTAAGTGCTATTAAATAGTTTGTTAACAAAATCAGTTTATTTTATTCACTCGATTGTAGTTTTCGATGCAGTATGACTACAGAGCACAGAAAAATGTACTTCAAAAACTTAAAACTTTGAAACATCAGAAACCAAAGATTTTTACAATAATATAGTGTAATTTTAAACAATTAGTCAATAATTTTGTAAACTTCTTCGTTAGGAATATCCGTAATGCCGTAATAGTCTCCTTAATCGAAAGTACAACAAATATTATTAAAAGCTCTGCAGTCTGTAATAGATTTTATTATTAATAATAGCTGACCAAATTGGAATAATATCTTAACGCCAAATAATTCAAATTGCCTAAAAATATCATAATTCGTTAAAAATACTGTGCTTAGAAATGAGGAAGTATCAGATAAAGTATATAGAATAACAAAGGTCGTTATGGAAGTCAATAAAAGATAAAAGAATAGGTTGGTAGAACACCTTCTCAGACGTGAAGAGCTAGTTAGAGATATTATATTAGAAGCAGAAATAGGAGTTAAGAGAGGCAGAGGTAGACCTAAATTAGATTACTATGAAGATTGACTTCAGATAGGAAGAAATATAGGTGCGTGTCGAACTAATCTTCGGGATGAATAAACATTTGCTACATATAAGTAAATAATGCAATAAAATTCCTTAAATATCCAACCATTTAAAATTTATTTATTTAAATTTACACTTAAAATGTTTAAAGTGCTCAATCATCTAATAAAAAATAATCTCTATCATTTTTATTGGCGAAAAATTGGCTTTGTATTGATTCATCATTTCTTTTGAAGATGTATTGATTAATATCTAACGGAAAACTGCTTAATTTCCATTGATTGTTCACAATAATTAATATGAATTGGTCAAATTAATAAATTTTTATTTTTTATTATATTATCGTAACAATTTTATGAATTACGGTTAAATGCTCTAGCATGTTCGATCATAATAATTTAGCAGTAAATATTTAATTAATCGCTCAATAATTATTCAAAAAAGGTTCAAAAATTAGTTATCAATAAAATAAAATGAAACGACTTTGTTTTTGTTTAATAAATTTATTTTTGTTAGTAAAAATACGTATTAAAAACAAAACAAAAAAGGTAAAAAAATATATATAACGTTAAATCGGATACAATTTTTAATAGCATAACATTTTTGGACCAGTTCCTTTCCAGCCAAAATATTAATTTATTCAATTGACAATACAACTCAATAAATAAATAAACAAACAAACAAACAAACATAATATTATCACATACTCAGAAATTATGTACTTAATAACTCTAAATAATCAATTTCAATGAGAATGTTATTAATAGTAAATATTATTAGAAACAGATAAATATAAAAAATTAGATTGATGTTAAATATCTTCTCAATTCTTCTTGCGTATCAAAAATCATTACGTGAAAGGGAGATCCGGGAACATGTTCGCCAGCCCACTTAATTTCTACTCTGTAGTCTCCAGGTTCAGTGGGATCGAACTTTAAAGAAATTGATAATTCATTTTTATGAGAGTGTTGAACACAATTTAAAAACTCCTTCAGTCAATAATAATAATACTTACTTTGCAAAGTATTGTTCTATCTTTCTGACTTTCCCTCTGCATTTCCACCCTGAAGGCCCCTTTTGGCCCACGAACTCTGACGGTCAATTGTCCAGCACCAGCCCCTCGTGTGTCACATATAAACCTAGATTGAAACGTCGCCAATACACCATGTTCTATACCTGGACCGTATACTCTCACCTGGTAAAAACATGTCGTAAAAATTAATAAAAAAATAATTGCTTTACAAACGAGAAATACCAATGAGACCACTTTTTAGTCTCCAAAATTTCTCTGCTACTACTTTTTTTCAATTGCCAACAATATCTGCAAGTGAAAAATGTCATACAAACTAAAGAAAATTCCATTTTGTGATCGCAAAAGATATATAAACCTTTAATAATAATAAAAAGGCACTTTAATTAATTATTAAATGGTGTTTATAATAGTTGAATAACATTTAGAGTTTCTAATTTATAATTGTTAATCAAATTGGTGACCGATTGGCTTCTCTGCCAAGGGGAATCGATGAGAGATAGCAGGTGCCTAGATTCTATTGGCTACCCCAAACAGCAGCCAATAAAATGTAGGCACCACTGCACGGGCATCATGCATCCCCTCTTGTTTCTCATAGCTCCCTATATTCTAATGTATACGAGTAAAACTGGTTGGTATTGCATACCTTTGTAGGATCGGGTGCACCAGCTACTCTAAGCGTAAAAGGAGATGCTGGAACATGTTGTCCAGCGTATTTTATTGTTAATAAATGTTTTCCGGCCTCTTGCGGCTTTACATTCAAAGTGAACGTGGCGTCTCCATGATCGTAAAGTTCACAGTAAGCGACTTTCCTCGGCCCTGCACAGTGTGCTGTTAACTCTCCTGGACCAGCACGTCTGGTATCGATCCAGGATCGTATTTCTTTTCCTACTATTCCTTGATGAAGACCTTCACCAGAACATAGAACCTATCCGCAATACGAACACAAGTTTTATAAATAGTTTTCGAAACGCCTATGTACATTGTTTACCTTTGAAGCGTCTGCTCCACCTTTGACTTCTACTAATAATGGACAACCCTTGACAAGCCTACCGCTCCACAAGACCGATAATAAATAATTTCCGGAAGTATTAATCGTATAAGTTGCCCTCCATATTTTTTCTCCCGCTAAGCTTATCATTACCGGTACGGGCTGATTAGAATCGGCGGCATGTAGAGTTACTTCCGGATTACCTGAATTAAAGACAATATCATCACATATTACTTAGTATACATGAGCTATTTTGCAAGAATTAAATTAAGGGCGGCTTTAGCGGTTTTAGATTAATTATACGAAGTCTGTTCAAAAAGTATCGCGATGTTTTTTGTGGCGTTATGTTGGTATTCATGTCTCTTATTTATACTGAAAAGTTCGGTTATGTTGAATCTTCAGTTAATTTTTGACCGCTGCTTTGCTTGCACGTGTTTTGGTTCTTCTTCGATTTTTGCCTATTCCAAAAAATGGGTCAAGGAATCTGCATCAAATTTTCTGTGCAAAAGAAAATGTTAACTGTGGCATATGGTGAAGCTACCTTGGACCGAAGCAACGTTTACCGATGGTACAAAATGTTCTCAGAGGGCCGAGAAGATCTGAACGACAAAGAGCGTGCCGGACGCCCGAGCACGTCAACAGAAGACGAAAACATTGATGAAGTGAAGAAAATAGTATTGGCCAAACGTCGAATCACCGTTAAAGAAGTTGCCGAGGACCTAAACATATCGATTGGCTTCTGCCATTCGATTTTTACCAATGATTACGGCATGAGACGGGTCGCCGCGAAAGTCGTACCAAAACTGCTCAATTTCTACCAAAAACAGCATCGCATTAACATTGCTAAGGAGCTGTTGGACTCTGTCCGCGACGACCCAAATATGCTCCAGAGTCACAACTGGTGACGAATCATGAGTTTATGGTTATAACGTCGAAACCAAAGGTCGGTTATTCTAATGGAAGCTACCGCATGAGACTAAAAAAAGAGCGCCAAGTTAAGTCGAATGGGAAGGTTTTGCTTAGAGTTTTCTTCGATTGCAGGGGCGTGGTGCATCATGAGTTTTTACCACAAGGCAGAACGGTCAATAAGGAATATTATCTGCAAGTCATGCGAAATTTACGCTAAGTAATCCGCCAGAAACGCCCGAATTTGTAGAAGAACAAAAATTGGCTTTTGGACCATGATAACGCCCCTGCTTGTGCGCGAATTTTTGACCAGAAACAAGACACTTATAACGCCATAGTCACCGTATTCCCCAAACCTGCCCCCCTGTGACAATTTCTTGTTCCAGAAACTGAAGAGACCCATGAAAGAACGATGATACGCTACGATTGGGGAGATAAAGACGGCATCGAAGAAGGAGCTGAACAGGAGCACAAAAAGTGCTTCTAGGATTGAAAAAATTCATGAATAAATAAATCATTTTTGAAAAACACAAAATTCGCCATACTTTCTGAAAAGACCTTGCATGTGTATATACGATACCTGGTCCAGATTTTGAACCGTCAATGGTGAAATATGCAGGTTCACCGCATTGCGCATTTGCCAACCCTCTGCCTGTAAGCACAACCTGATCTTTAAGACTAACGGCAGTTTTGGGAGCTTCCGGCAAAGGAATGTTGGCGTATTTGATTTCGAAATCGTGTTCACCAGCATTCAACCCCTCCGGTGACAGTTCGAACCGTACACGTGCGCCACTTTTTTCTGGCATTAATTTGCGCCCGGCCAGTTTGCATTCCAGAGTTCCCGGTCCAGCGCTCGATGTGTCAAAGGCCAATTTCGCAGGAAGTTTTATCCGACCAGTGTCATCCAAATATTGAGGCCAGCCGCCTATTAAACGAACTAAATTTACATCTACAATGTTAGGCCTAAATGGGGATCCGGCAAGCTATATCAAAAAAAAAGGATTATTGATAGAATTTTCCTCATTAAGGATGAAACAAATCACCTCATTAGGACCAATGCTAATAATGATATCGTAAGTTCCAACCCATTTTGGAGTGTACGACACGAGATATTCTCCAGGTTTTGAACACTGAATATGGGCGTCGATGTTACCCTCTGCTGCGTCTATTATTACCCTCGGTTGTATAACGCTGGTTATTATGAAGTTGGTCCTTTCTCCAACTTGGCCACTTTCTAAGCCTTTACCAACTGCGCGAGGAGGTGGGGTAGGTCCAACTGGGCCAACACCCAATGCCAAAGGCGATCCTTTCACGGGGATATCTCCGTATGTGATCGAAACTTGGAATAGGCCTGGTAATGTTGGCAAGAAACTTATTTGGAATGTGTGGTCGTCCAACTGATTTTTTTGAATGGCTACCGTCTGATTTATTGGATTCGTTATTTTGACATCCAGATCGGCAAGACCGGCATTTTTTGTAGATACTGTAATAAAGAAATACTCGCTCAAAAATTAAAAGATCAGCTAATGATTTAATTACTGAATCCGAACGAAAAATAATTTGTCCATTGCTAAGGTCAAGGAATGAAGATCTACTCAGAGACATATTAGAGGCAGAAACAGGAGTTAACAGGAGTTAGATTAGCTTACTGCTTGCAAATAGCTAAGGATGTGGTTGTTCTAGTTTTGGGGAAATGCGAAAATTAGCTCAGAATAGGAAAGAACGGAAATGTCTGAGGACTGACGACCTTATAATGATGAAGATCAAGTAGGTCAGATTATTACCACCATAAACTAGTGTAAAACAAATATTCTACACCTACCATTGAATCCAATTTTTTCTCCAACATTGCTCTGGGTGTGTGGAATATCGAAAATTCTGACATAGTCGACGTCAAACGCGTGACAGTTGAACGGACTCCCGTTCAATGGTTTAGATTGATGAAGAACTTCAATTTTATGGGCACCAATATCTTTTGCCGTATATTCCGCTTGCAGTTTTCCTGTTTTCGTTTGATAACAGCGAACAGGCACGGCAGTTCCTGCGGGTCCACTAATTACCACGTCGAATTCTCTAGCTGGCTTTCCTAGCGTGTCTATATTGAACGAAGCCACTTTTCCAACCCTAGCTTGATACAACCCTATACCACCGGCCCAAGGTTCGTTCCCAGGAGCTTTTACACCTATTTCAAGGACGTTCGGGTGAGGAACTCCGTTGTAATACAATACGATTCTGTGTGGCACAACGTTACTGGGATGAAACACGATCTCCCACAGTTTAGGGATGTTGATACTTTGACGTACACTGTGGGGTACATCTTTATTGGCGAATTTTACTGCCGCAGTTAGTTTTCCAGGTCCTGCTTTGTTAATATTGACTGTAACTACAGCAGGTCGATGAGATATTGCATCAGGTACATTCACCACTTCAATTTTCGACATGTTAAAGACGTGAATTGTGCGTGACCCTACAACCTCGTGACCCTTAATAAACTGTATGTGATAAACTCCTGTATGGTTGACAGAAAATTCTGCCTTTGAATTCTTCAACGTGTATTTCACGATGTGGTTGTTGGGATCTGTCACCTCCAACTTGTGGTCATTTAATAGGTCAATGTGCACCAAATTACCGATCTGAAGATATTGAACTGGTTCAATAACAGAACATTGGAATGGGCTACCTGGGATTTCCATTTCGTTGAATGTAATATTAACGAAATGGGTCTCGTTTGTTTGTGGCACAAAGGTGACCTCGTAAAGGCCCCTGGCGCAAGCCACCACTTCCGCTTTAACTGTAGTATGTTGTGTGGACACAACCAGTTCCAAAGTACCTTCCCCAGCATGAGCCGCATCAACACTGAACGTTACAGGTTTTCCAACTTCCGCGGTTTCTTTTCCAGACAATGAAAGGTCTTGCATGCTTCTGTTCAACGTTTTCTGTCCCGGCAGGCCAGAAACAATTACCTTGTTGACGTCAAAAACGTTGCAATTAAACGGAGATCCAATGATGTGTTGGTCACTGATTAAAACCGCTACCGAGTGACGACCAACAGTTTCAGGAACAAATGTTGCGACCAAATAGTCAGATTCGGTATTCATCTTTACCGGAATGCTCTTTCCGGAAGGAGATGACACAGTGACGTGGGCGTCAGCGTTACCAGAAATTCCATCCATTCTTATTTCCGCCTGATGACCAACTGCAGCAAGTTCTATTCCCGATCCAGACACTGGAATTCTAAGTTGGGTGTTGCCGGGGTGCACTTTACAGCTAAATGGAGACCCGGGAACAGGTTGTCCATTAAAACTAAACAAAAAGATCTCTTAGTAAATGCTGATATGGAAACGTCATCATCGTGCCTTTACCGAACACTGAGGGTATGCGTGGCTGCTTCTGTTGGTTTGAAATTAACTTTAAATCTTGCGTTTCCCTCACTTTGGACAAAATTGGGTACATTCCTGCCAGCAACCGCTACAATTATTTCCAAATTTCCAGCTCCAGCTTGGGATGCGTTGATACTGAAAGAAACTGGCTTTCCAACCATTCCATCGTTTATATCAGATACTACAACTCTTCCTGCGTCATACGCTTTGATAAGGAAAGGACTTCCTTCGATATGGCCGCCAGGGAGTCGAACCTGAGTAATAATTATTAAAAACCAATTGCTCATTATTTGAGGGTTTAGGTAATTATTATATTAACTTGCCTCAACGCTGTGATCTCCTACGTCGACGGGTACGAATGTTACGTCGTATTTACCTTGGGCACCTGATTGTGGTGTTATCTGAAACAGATTGCGATCGTCGAAAAATCTGGAAGTGAATAATTTTACAAAATTTCTTCTACCTGTGTTGGTACGGGTTTCCTTGCCGGACCAAGAACTTCAACGATTGGTACAGCCGAGCTTTCCACGGCAAATACGCATGACTTCCCGACAGAAATCTTATCTAGAGCATCGGGAGCGATTATTCTTGCCGACGGAGCAACGTTACACTTGAAAGGGCTGCCGGGAACATCTTGACCATTAAAACGGAGATCTACAGAATGAACCGTCGCCTCTCGTGGTGTAAAGGAAATGGCGTAGACGTGAGGTCCTTGGGCTTGGGCGGATGTTGGGACTCGACCACCGTTTACCGTCACTTCTAAGTTCCCTGGTCCTGCCAGGCTTGTTTCAACTGATATGGGGCAACAAAGTGGGAAAGTATTAAAAAATCGGGGCGATCCAGAAAATCCGTTATTGCAGGAAAGTATTGAAACAAGTTTTATTATAACTTGTTTAAAAATACGTATTTCCTAAATTTGAAGGTAATTTTATAAATGTTGCCTAACAATTTTCCAATCACCAATAGACGGATTTTATGGTTTCCAATAATAATAAATAGGATACCAACCTAAAAATGTTACCGGTTTTCCAACAACGCCTGTGGTCGCGTCCTTTACTTTGATCGCTTGGACATCATATATTTTTGCTGCGTATGGACTTCCCGTGGTTGGCACACCACTAACATTCACAGCTATGCGATGTTCGCCAACAGTTCGGGGAACAAATTCTGCTTGAAATTGACCGCTGCCGATCGGTTGAACTTGAGTTGGAACAGCTTGACCTCCGGGGCCTGATGTAGTTAATGTATTTATTTAATTGCGTGAAGGTGTGGAGACAGTGCATGTTATTTAACAATCCTTTCCTAGTCCTTTTGGTGTATGCGTAGGTATGTCACGTAGGATTCAGGATGGACAAAGGGGCGAAGGAAAAGGACCAAAAATTTGGTTTAGTTCTAAAGATTGCAGATATTAAAAACATTTTAAAAAAGTTTCATGATAAATCTGCCAATCTTTAGAATTAATTTGTATGCTTTTTTGTTTTGGTAAAAATAATTTTCCACTTCTTATTTTTATATTATATCTACCTTTCCAAATTTAGACTCAGTTGATAATAATTAGAA